GGCCTTAAACACTTCCAGGGAGGAGCAGCCACAGCTTCTCTGGCCAACCTGGGACACTGTCTCACCACCCTCACACCAAAGAATTTCTTCCTCACATCTCCTCTCCATCTCCCCTCTGCCAGTTTCAAGCCATCACCCCTTGTTCTGTCACTCCCTGCCCTTGGCCAAAGTCCCTCCCCAGCCTTCCTGGAGCCTCTTCAGATTAATCTAGACTCCCAAAAATAAAAGCTTAAACCCTAAACAAGCTTCCTTGCTCGCTACTCAACAACCACACAGATGCTTGTGCCAGCGTGGGTGGCAGCGAGGTGGGAATGAGCAGCAAGGACAGGTCAAGACTGTTCGTTTTGGAGTCTTCAAGCACTAGCAAAAGTACAAAATAGTAATCCTGGATGTATTTGCTGACAAATACAGCAGAAAAATGATCCTGAAATGAGGTCAGTGGGATGGGGCATAGCAAACCCCAGTAACTCTCCTTGCAGCACTTGGGTTTCCTGCTGGAGTCTTTTGTGGAAACAACGTGACCCGCTTTTCTGTTCCAAGTAGAGATCACTGTTTGTTTTATTCAGTGAGCATAACTGAAGAATCATCATGACTTGTTCCTGCTAGTCTCTGAATCTTGCAGAATGTAGTAAAGCCGGATTAATTTGGGGAGGGGGGAACTGAAAATGCTGGCAGAGCGAGGATGGTAAAAGGCAAAAACAATCGTAGCTGCAGAAGTCGGACAAGGAGTCACAAGGTGCCTAAACAACAAAAATTGCATCAAAACACTAAAAACACCCTTGAGACTTCATCACAGAACAATACAGAGAGCTGGAAGCAGTCCACCTGAGGTCATCAGGGTCCTTTCCACATCCAGTGGAGCTTCATTGGCACTGGCCCCACGGAGCCCGGGGTGAGCACGCCTCCTCCGGGTAACACTTGCCATGGAGAGTGCACCGGCCTCTGAGGGAGGGAGAGAGGAGGAGTGTGCAGGCAAACTCTGTTCCTTACAAGGCTCTGTAAAACACAGTGAGTTCTGCAGAGAGAACAGCCACGTTGCCCTCTGGTTTTGGTGTGATGCTGGAAAAGTGTTCCTACTGCAAAAAAGGGGTAAGCAGGTTTTGCTTTTACATTTCCCCTCGGTGTTTATAGAGGCTGCAGGTAAATCCAGCACAGCTTCAGGGAGAGGAAGCAGCATTCACTCCAGAACTAGTGTTTGGGTTTGATCATCCCAGATTGTATTCAATCCACCTCTTCCACACTCGGTTGCTCATCTCCTCCTCAATTTTGGGCTTTATTTCTCCTTCAGGAATGTATCAAACCTGTAAAAGTGGAAAAAAAACCTGGAAAAGCAGCAGCCAAGATCAGAATTGAAGCAGATGGAAGCTATTTTCAGATCAATCAGGTATGTGGGGGGTTTTTTTCTTCATTATTGTGTAAAATATCCGGAAAACATGAGTGTATTGTTATGTATTTGAATAGACTACAGCTATTTAATGCCTTAAAGAGATCCAAGACATTATAAAAGTATTGCTCTTGCTGTCAGCATTCTCATATCTTTTTTTCCAAAGTCCAACTTTTTAATTACCTGGGTTTATAAGCAGTAATTCTGATTTTGTGTCCATCTTTTATGCTCTGAAACGCTGACATGACTTAGCCATGACTTTCAGTGGAAGAGCAGATAAGCTCAGAAGTCTCTTTTGCCATCAACACTCAAGTATTAGCAATGCCCTGATTGTTTGAGACAATCTCTTCTCTTACTGCATTATGTGTTATATATATTATAATATATATATTATATACAGCAGAGTGCTCGCTCACAAAGAGATTAAAATAGCTGCTCTCAAATTTTGCTCTGATTTTTTAAAAATAATGTTTCAAATTATTTATTAAATAGCCTACAGATTTCATAAGCCTTCTGCTTACAAAATGAATGCTGAGTTTTGGAGAATTCTGTTCCTGTTTACTCAGAAGAGGTTAGCATTTCTTGGTGAACCAAGCTGGGAGTTCATCTAGCAATGGTACTTGTAACTTTAAGCAGATGATGACCTTTTGACTTAAAAAAAGGGGGATACAGCATTTCCAAAGAAGTCTTGTTTCTTATTTTAAGATATTAATTTAGTAGTACCTAATTGCTTGGCCTGTTTCTGACTGTATTGAGGAGTGAAGTTTCAGAGGAGAATCTCCTGGGAAAACTGACTTATTGGGGTCAAATATTATGAAAATATTTCCTTCCCGTGGCAAGCCACACACTGTGGCTGCCCTACAGTTCTCCCAGCACTGTCCATGTAAGTTCTGCACACAGAAAGATTGCAGAACACACAAGTATCCATTAAAAATGTTAGTGAGCTCGTACTCTGGTTCCTCAGTCTGTTGGGAGTGAAATTCCTGTGCAGAACCAGCTCCTGGGCTGTCCAACAACACGAGCAGTGTCTGATGGAGGTGACAGAGCTGGTGTGCTTTCTCCAGGGTGATGTTCAGTGCACGCTGGTGCTTGAGGGCTTGGGATCTCTGTGCTCTACAATTCTGTGGCTAAAACAGCAGCTGCAGTCAGTGCGTAGCTGTTAACCATGCTGACCCAAGTCTTCAGCCACCCACATGATGAAACCCGAGCAAGACAGACCCTGTTTGCTTCTGGGATAGTATAATTTCATAGAATCATAGAATGGTTTGGGTTGGAAGGGACCTTAAAGCTCATCCAGTCCCAACCCCCCTGCCAGCAGCAGGGACACCTTCCACTAGACCAGGTTGCTCAAAGCCTCATCCAACCTGGCCTTCAACACTTCCAGGGAGGAGCAGCCACAGCTTCTCTGGGCAACCTGGGACACTGTCTCACCACCCTCACAGTGAAGAACTTCTTCCTAATATCTCATCTAAACCTCCCCTCTTTCAGCTTAAACCCATTTCCCCTTGTTTTGTCATTTCCATGTTCTGGAGCAGGTTCAGCCCACCAGGTAGCACAGATAATTGTGGCCTAAGGAATTGTTCTGTACTTGATGAAAGTTATGTTCTTGGTCTTGCTAAAATTTTCCTCAAGCTCCTCAGCATATTTGCATCCGTGTGCTGAATAATCTTATTAAAAGCAGCAAATTTCAGAGATACTTGTCTTCCTTACTAAAAATAAAAGATAACTTTTTTAACATGATAAACCAAGAGCATAAAAACATCAACCCCTTTGTTATTAAATATAATAAAGGTGGGGAAGAAAGCTGCTGCCTAATTCTACACTGTGATCAGAACTGAGTCTAGTCTGTTTCTTTACAGGATGGAGGAGCACAAAAACTGGAAAAGGCTAAAATCACTCTGAACGACTGTTTAGCTTGCAGTGGCTGCATTACATCAGCAGAGAGTGTTTTAATCACTCAGCAGAGCCACGAAGAGCTCTGCAAAGTGCTGGCTTTTAACAAGGTAGGTGGCAAGCCATGGCTAGGTAGGCTGCAGAGTTTGAAAGTCTCAGTAGGTTGCTATGATGCATCCACAAAATCATGTGTGCAAACAGCACTCGTAAAAATCAGTCTCAGAGATCTGAAGGATCTGAGGACGTTCTCAGTTCCCTGTTAACTGCTTCTTTCCAATATTTAAAAAAGTAATCATGGGTTTGGGAAGGAACTTTAATGTAGTAAGTCACTGACCTCAGAGTTAACCTGGGAGATATTTTCTGATGTTCTAGTGTGCTGGAAGTTCTGCTTGTGCCATATTAATATTGTCTGAATGGTGGTGCTGTGTGTTTGGTTTCTTGTTTTTTTTTTTTTCCAAAGACTGCTGCTCCCAATGAACAGAAATTGGTGGTGGTTTCTGTTTCACCACAATCCAGAGCTTCACTAGCTGCAAGATGTAAAATGGGTGTTGTGGAAACAGCAAAGAAGTTGACTGCATTCTTGAAGGGTTTAGGTAAGCGTGGTGCTGCGTTCTGTTACTCACAGAGGGGACTGTAACTGGGATGAACACACGAGGTTGATGTGATTTAACCTCCCCAGGGACTCATAACGTTTCATAACTGGCATTATCGTAGAATCATAGACTGGTTTGGGTGGGAAGGGACCTTAAAGCTCATCCAGTCCCAACCCCCCTGCCAGCAGCAGGGACACCTTCCACTAGACCAGGTTGCTCGAAGCCTCATCCAGCCTGGCCTTGAACACTTCCAGGGAGGAGCAGCCACAGCTTCTCTGGCCAACCTGGGACACTGTCTCACCACCCTCACAGTGAAGAACTTCTTCCTAATATCTCATCTAAACCTCCCCTCTTTCAGCTTAAACCCATTTCCCCTTGTTTTGTCATTAACTGCCCTTATGAAAAGTCCTTCCCCAGCTTTCTTGTAGCCCCTTCAGGTATTGGAAGGCTAAAATGCAAACTGTCTACAACTGCAGCCACATAATAAGCTCAGAGAAATGGAAGGAACTTTAAATTTTAGATTTTCTCCTGTCACTTTTGCTCGTCTTACTGTGCGGATGTGCCGGGGGAAAGGTTCCCCCTCAACTACAGAGGTTGAGACCTGTAAATAAGATGTAAATAACTTTGAATCCAGTTTGTCTGGAGGCTTTTTGTTGTAGTTTGCTGTATCTTCCTTGTGAATTCTAACACAGACACCGTGCTGCCTAGGTGTGCACTATGTATTTGATACAACTTTCTCAAGAAACTTCAGCCTGTTGGAGAGCCAACGAGAGTTTGTAAAACGCTTCCGAAAGCAAACAGAAGACAAAAAGGCTTTGCCAATGTTAGCTTCTGCCTGTCCAGGTATGGTATTGGATTAGTTATGGAAATGATCAAATAACATGCTAATAGTACACTAGAAGAAAAATTCTGAAAGCTAGTCAGAGAAGTTTAAATGGATACATTTACTTAGAGGATTACTCTCCTCATAATACAAAGAGATCTCTGTTAATAGCAGTAGTGATCCCTCCAGTTACACAGTGAGCTCTGAAACAAACCTTGTGGCACGCTTCCTTTGATTGTTGTGCTGAAATGAGGCTGAAAATGGTTATTAACGGATACTAAGTCTGGAGTTGAGGGGAGGGTGATCAGAGTGAAGGACTGCTTGTTATTTTTTTAATTGAATTTGCTAATTACACTCTTACCAGGTTGGATTTGCTATGCAGAGAAAACCCATGGCAGTTTCATCATTCCTTATATCAGTACTACCAAGTCTCCACAGCAGGTCATGGGCTCCTTGGTCAAGGGTTATTTTGCAAAACAAAAGGTAAGGGGCTGAAGTGTCCAATGCTTAGTGGCAAACTGCTAAAATTGAACATTTTAAGCTGATATTTTTTGTATCTTGCTACCTGTTACACATTAAAGTTTAAAGGTAAAAATTGTCTTGCTGAAGTCAAACAAAGCAGCATCTTTCCCACTTTTATTTTATCTAATGAGAAGTTAACAACTAGGGCAGCAACACTCAGCACACGGTGCATGGGCTACTTAAAACCTCTGCATGTTATTTGGGGAGGGTAGAGAAACTTATTTTTCAGTGTCCTTCTGCTCCCATCTTCTCTGTGTGTGTTATTTTCATGTTGTTTAAAGTTGGTGAATGACAAAATAAATTATCCTAAGACAAAACTTTGGTCAGTGCATACGTGCAGCTCATGGCTCATCTAAAAATTATTTGCTTGTTCCCAACTTAATGTTCTGTTTCAATTTGACTCAGTTCTGTCCTCAGTCTTTAACCTTTGGAATCTTTCCAAATATAAATTTGATCTTTAAAGACTAGAGTTAGACTAATAACCTAGATTTGTCCGGTAAGAAACTTAAGCACCACTTCTGATTGTATGATTTATTGTCCATTAACGAGCAGTGGTTTAACACTTGCATTAAGTCAATGCTGACATCTGCATACTTGTCACAAAAACTGGCAGCTACTAAGAACATTTGGCACAAGATACTGCAACAATGGCCTTGAGTCAATGACATGTTTCCTCAGCCTGTACTTATTTCTTGGATGGTCATGAGGTTTTTGTCTGACTCCAGCTGATTTCTTAATTGCTGATGCAGGGGCTGGGTTTTAGTAGCGTGGAGGAAGCTTATTGTCTAACTGCATAATTAGAAATTCACTTCACTGATTGACTTAGCCTGGATCATCCACACTAACAAAAGGAGGGGAGGGAAACTTGTAAAAGGCCATACTGCTGACACTTGCTACAAACTAAAATCAGGTTCTGTGAGAGAAATAATTTAATGTATATGTAAGTGTGTGTGCATATATATATAGATAGATATACAAAAATAAATGTTCAGTAATAGTGGAGAGTGTTTCCAGAGGCATGGTGGCATTAGTTTAATCATTCTCATTTTTTACCTGGAAAAATATCTCCCTCAAGATAGGTTTGATATTGGCCAATCCAACTGCACAGCTTTGTCTTTCTTCCAGCACTTAACACCTGACCAGCTATACCATGTAACAGTAATGCCCTGTTATGACAAAAAACTAGAGGCTTCGAGGCCAGACTTTTTCAACCAAGAGTACCAAACTCGTGATGTGGACTGTGTAATCACCACAGGTAAGCAGAGCCAGAGGTAGTCCAGCTAATTTCTGTAAGCCTCAGAGGAAGGCATTTGCTAGTTTTAATAACCCTTGGTCTCTGATAGAGGATGTAGTGTATGGATATTGCTGTGTAATTACACTTTAATAATGCAAATCATGGCCCAGTAAAGATTGCAGATGTAGTCTTATGTACTGGTCTGTGGGTTTTGTTTTCCTTTATCCTCAAAATCAGAACTTTTTCTATCTGTGGTTCTGTTTTAGGAGAAGTGCTAAAGTTGTTGGAACAAGAAGGAGTATCTCTATCAGATGTAGATCCTGCTCCTTTGGATACCATGTAAGAAAAAAAAAAATCTCATTTTCATCTTCAATCATGTTCTTTTTCATCCAGTTTTTATAGTTCAACAGAATTTACCTTTCCCATACACAAGTCTGGATGTGCTTGCATTTGATTTGTTTTCTTGTGTCACATCAATCACTACAATTGTACATAAAATACTTAATCTACAGAATGTGATGAATTTCCACTTTTGGAGAATCTTTACCTATTTGTTCTAGATTTTAGTTAGTTCAAGGATTAGCAGCTCTCACTGTAAATCAGAAGGATTGCTAGAATTGGCTCAGTAACAGTATAATGGCAAAATAATTGTGCAGAGAAGTACAAATTGCAGGACAATCATCTACTTCAGTTAGTTTCTCACAGGATAGCTGGTGGAATCCCACAAAAATCTACTTGCAGACTTTGAAAAGTGAAAGAATCTAGATCAGTGATAAAGGAGTTTGCTAAACCAAAGCCTGTTGTTGCACTGTCTCAGTTTGCCTGTGTCTGTTCCTAGTTATTAGAGCTACTGTAAAGATCCCAGAGTTATAGCATAAATAAGAAATATTTAGGTCATTCAGCTAATCTCTAGGAGCCTTAATTGGTAAAAAAAAAAATAGATGAGATCTTAACCATGTTCAAACCAGATGAGACTTTCAGATTCATCTGAAAAGTAACATCTGGTTAAGTAACAACTGCACAGAGATCTAAGTGACTACAGAAACATTAAAATCACATTTTATTCATCTAAATTGACATGCAGTGGTGGTTCCTCACTGAACACTAAACCAAAGCATTCTCCTCTTCAGTTTCAAAGGAATGGCTCTGTAGCACTTTGCACATTAATAAACAGAAAGGCTACACGTGCAGCAGCCTGTAAGAGTTATAAAAGATGATTAAGTATATGGTTCAAAAATTTACTGCTCAGGCCCCTTCAGTTTTTAGGAGAGATTTTGATACCCCAAATATGCAGCACCTAGCACACCAGTAGAATGTGACACTAGTTTGTTCTGCAGATGTGGCACTCTTGTTTTCAAGTTGGGTTTATTTCTAAGCAGGCTTCAAGTCTTTCCAGTACAACCAAGTGCCAGTGGCAGCCTTTGCTCAAGGATTGTCTGATCAGCACATGTATGTTGACAGAGCTGTGAAGGGAAGTGTCCTTACCATGCAGCCTAGTTCCTAGATTAGTTTTAATTGTCATAAACATTGGTCACTCCTGTGCTTCTGAAAAGGAGAATGTGCAGTAGAGACTGGCTATTGCTGTCCAATCCCTTTTATGTAAGGGATACTTCATTTTTAGAAAAGAGATTTAAAATAACATGCTTGCCCAGAGCCTCAGTTTCCTTCTGGTACATTTCAGTGGATCAGTAGGTGCAGGTTTCACGTGACACATTTTCTAGCACAGATTTATTTATGCACACCTTTTCCAGGATTGTCTTTTTCTGACATAACTTATGCACAGATTGCTTTCACATGAACAAAGAAAAATATCCTCAGCTATAATAAATATCTGCATGGTTCAGTCCCTTAGTACAGCTTCAGAAGTTGCCCATGGAAACAAGTGCTTCTGTTCTACCTGTGTTATCCTTACACCACTAACAGAAACTTGAGGAGAATAAAAAAGAAGATCCTGAAGTGTTTGGGTTCCCTTAGGAAATGCCATTATGGAAGTGTCAGTTATAACATAGAACTGAATGTCTAATCACTTGATAAAAATCTCTGGCTAACTTCTTAGGAGTACATTCTGAGCAGCAGGCCTCATGCTCGTGGTGATAAAGCGCCTCTCTAACCCTCTGCTGGCTTGAACCTCCTCAGTGACTGGGCTGGTTACAAACAGCACGTATTCCTCAGGACTCAGAGCACTCACATGAGCAATCCACTCGCTGTTGTTCTGCTTTATCCTCCAGCACGTGCAAAAACCCATTAAGAGGTTATTACATTTGGCAGCAAGAATGAGATAAAGTGCCAGAAATCCCAGGACTTTTGCTGGTAGGAGCATTTGCTCCAGGCCAGCACTGGAGCTTACTGGCAGCCTCATTTTAAGAGAGCAGCAGTACGTGAGGCCAGACACACTGAGACATGTTATTAATGAAGCTCAGTTCCTGTAAACAAGATCAAATTAAAAATAGTTTCTGAGGCTGATTGCAGACTAAAGTGTTGCCTTCTGCAGTTCTTCCAAAGCTCAGATTTTTATCTGTGAGAGGCAACATCTTTGATTTGACTTGAAACCCTTTGGCCTGAATTCAAGTGTTTTCCCTCCTGCAGCTGTTAGTGGGAGAACACGAGTGTCGCTGCCTGATGAGCGCTCATAAGCGGCTCCCTCCTCTTGTTACTCTCTCATAACAAAAGCTATTGTTGTGGCTTCCATCTGGTGAGCTCTTCTCCAGAAACATTATCTTGACCTCGGAATAGCTGCTGGCGTTTTGGCATGTCAGTGAGATGGAATTATTTGTGCGGAACTAGAATTACAGAACCGATGTTAACGGAGTTGTTCAACACTAGAAACGTGTTTGACTTGAACCAGGGGACAGCCATACGTGGAGCAAACATCCTGGCATCCTTAGCTTTGTTCACCTCTTTAACACAACTTTAAGCACGTGAAACCACAGTGACACGGATTTCATCTCTCTGTGCTTGTGATCATAGACCTGATACCTCCCAAGAATGTTCTCCAACATCCCAGCAACCACATCTAAATTAGCTGGTTTTGAATAACACAGAGCTAGAGCTCTCAATAATGACCTCTGCTTCAGTTGCTGTTGCAGAAAAGCCTCAGCACTGATGAGATATCTCTTGACTGAGCCAGAACTTCTGCTAAATTACATTCTCCCAGAGAAGCACAGACCTGTACCACCAATGCTTCATTATTTCCCTGCTCCTATTTCTAAGTGTCACCCAGGATGTTTGTAGAGGTATTAAACAGGAAGCTAAAAAAATACGTATGTCAGGTAATTGCCCTTGTAACTCAAACATTCCCAAAGATATTTCTGATACACAAAGATTAAGGTGGCAGTGCATGGGCCAGGCCTTGGTGTGGCATGTGACAGTATTTCCACTGAGATTGACCCAAAGGCAGCACAGGGTTAAACCTGCTGGGCTCTGAAGCTATAAAGAGCTGGTTCCCAAGAGAAAGGGAAAAACCAGGAGCTCAAAGAGAGCTGGTCTGTGGCTTATTCTGGTGCTTTTTTGTCCCCTGGACCTCTGCATTTGTGCTGGCTGTTCTATTTTAGAATCTATTTCCAAGATTCCCCTAAAACTGCTTCTTTCTTCCTTTCCCCCAGGTTTAGCAGTGCTGCAGAGGAGGAGCTCACCAGCCACTCGGGAGGAGGTTCTGGTGGCTATCTGGAGCACGTATACAAGCATGCAGCCAAGGAGCTCTTTGGAATCCAAGTGGATACAATTCAGTACAAACCTTTAAAGTAAGAAGTTGAAACCCCAACAGAAAGCACTGTTTTTGTTGCAGTTCTGCTGACATTCTCTTGCTGATGGGCTGAAACTTTGCAATGTTAAACATTTTACTTCAAGGCCTGGGAATTGGCTTCTCACTCCCATAGTTGCTGAGCAATAAATCAGCCAGCACTCTGTGCAGCCTTTCCCTTGGAGACTTCTAGCCCCTTCACCACCCACACACTTTATTTTGGCCTGATGGATTTTCCCAGTATCAAGTTGCAGACAATTTTTAGAGTGATTTAGAAGACAGAACTTGTATGGATCTGGGCTTCCTCACCTGCAGTCAGACCAGTGAAGTAGCTGTGTGACTAATCGACTATCACAGGACAGAAAATCTTGTGTCAGGGCTTTGGGGCTCTGTTTTAACTGTGTTGTGACAGAAAACAAGACACTTGAGTTTGAGCACAGGGGCTTATTCAGCTGAGAAAAAACTTCCCAGTTAGGATATTAATGTACCATTTGTAATGGATTATATCCCTGATTAGCAATATTAATGTGTAGGATTCTCTAGTCCAGGAAGCAGAAGGAACAGTCCCCCAGAGTCTGATATGAAAAGTGCTAAACTTTGACTTGATAAAAGTCAAATTACTTATTATTTTATCAGGAACAGGTATTTCTGGTAACCTCAGGAGTCTGGAAGCCTTCAGCAATGGTTTACTCCCTGGTTTTATGACCCACTACAATGTAAAAGTTTTCTCAGTGGCCTCACTAATGTGTAAGTTGGCTGAAGCCAACTTGGAAGGCCAGTCACAATGAAACTTTTGTTTAGGCCCCATTTGCTTAGATTTTAAGGATTTATTCAGCACAGGTGCTCTTCAGCACACTCAGTTCCAGTGGCAGGTCCTCAAACCTGGACTGGAAAAGGATCTGTGAACTGGTTCCTTCACCTGTTTTGTTTGGGTGGCAAAGAACTAGGACAGCTTTCTCGAATCAGGTTTCACAAAGAACTTTGTTTTAGCACAGAACTCTTTGAAGTTTAAAATAGAAGTTGATTTGGATGAGATATTTTCTCTGTTCTTATTCCTCAGAAACAAAGACTTCCAGGAGGTGACACTGGAGAAGGATGGAGTAGTCCTGCTCCAGTTTGCTTTGGCATATGGGTTTCGAAACATACAGAACTTAGTGCAAAAGCTGAAACGAGGGAAATCACCTTATCACTATGTTGAAGTCATGGCCTGCCCATCAGGTAAGACCCCACAGGGATTTCACTGTGACAATCCTGCTGTAAGAAACTATGAAACTGGAACTAAAATAGAACAAGAGGGAATTTCTCACATCCCCAATATTGTGGCCAAGCCTTCAAACTCTTGAGATGCATAGTCACAAGCACCAGAGTTTCACAGTTGTTTGTGTCTGTATTTTCCTACCTAGGAGCTAGTAAGGCTTCAGGATTTAAGTAATTACAGCTAAATTCCATTGCACAAAGTTTGCATAATTAGTGCTTTTAAGGGGGTCCTCCTGGTTTTTGAGCTCTTTGGTACATGGGGAGATTCTTCCTCTAAAACTGCACAAAATTGACCATTAATGCTTTTAGAGAACACTTGCTATGGCTGGTGAGGAGAGGCTCTTTCTACTTATTTTATTTCCTTTCCTACTTTATCCAAGTCCTCCTTTTTCTCCCTCCTGGTTCTCTTTGAATCTGCTACCAGAGAGCACAGACAGCTTGAACCCAGCCTGAAGTGACACTGGTCTGCCATTCCTGGCACCCTGAGTGGCTTCTCTCTCCCCAAGAGTCTGCTCAGCACCAGGACACTGCTCAGGGCAGCCACACGCTGTGTAGCTCCACACGTAGCACAACTACTCCAACAACAAACCCAGAACATATCTCAGGCATGTTTATCTTACCTTCAGTTGAGACTCCAAGGCTGTTCTCACCTGGATTGTGTTCTGGCCCTTTTCTGGAGGCATGACATGGGAGCCAGAGCTCCCTGCTGCTGCTTCCCTCTTCTTCCCTCCCTGGCAGGTCCCAGCCTGCCTTGGCCACCCTCTCTCACAGCTGGCTGCACACTGAATGAGCACCAGGGCACACCAGGCTGGTGATCTCCTCCTGGTGTTAAATAACTGCAGAGTAAACCCCCATTACAAGGGTGTTTTAATTACTGTAACTGTTTGCAGGTGCAGATTAACTGAATTTGTTTGGTTTGGGGTTTTTTTTCCTGATAAAGCTGAAGAGCTTTCTAAACTCAGTGACATTTTTCTCCCTTTGCTGCACATAGGTTGTTTAAATGGAGGTGGTCAGATCAAACTAGATGGTGAATCCAGCAAGGACCAGCTTCAGCAAGTTGAGAGGTTGTATGAGTCTCTGAAGACTGAAATTCCAGAGAAGAACAGGACTGTGAGTGAACTCTATGAGCAGTGGTTGGGTGGTGTGGAGTCAGAAAAGGCTGCAGAAGCTTTGCACACAGAGTACCACACAGTGGAGAAAACAAGCACCGGATTCAACATCAAATGGTGAAGAGTGACGCTGTGAAGCCCAGACACGGATACTCAGTGCCTTTTGAACTCCATTATATTTAAGATTCCCAAAAGGCAGCTGAAGTTCTGTGGCATCACTGGGAGTTGGCAATTTCTGTCTCCTGTTAGGGATGAGAAGGTAAAGTGCATAGAGGCAGGCAATGTTCATTCCTGCAGCCTGATAATTATTGAAGTGATGTAAATAAAAACCAAACATGGACTTAAACCACATGTTAAAAATGCATCCTGGCCCTTACAGGCTTGAAGAACTGCATCTGCACTCCCTTTACAGCCCTATTCCTACCAGAGCTGATGAGTTTAAGGTACCAGAGGATTTGGGTTGCAGTTCCCTGGAGCCTCGCTGAGCTGAGCTTTGTGCTACACGGCAATATTCCTCGTCCAGGCTCTGCTCTGTTTTCACAGCACTCAGTTTGATGGCTGTCTCTCTTGAGACATCCTCATTTAGTTATAAATGGCCTAATGAAACCTTGGGTTCTGTTTTCCCACATCTCTGCCCCTGACTGGCTGCCCTGGAGGTCCTGCTGGAGGATCTTTGGGTTGTCAGAGCGGGTGGCATCACAGGAGAAGCATCATCACTAGGGCTGTTGTATCGCCTGCTGAAATGGGACTTGAATGAATGTTTAAGAAGAAAAAGCTGAAGTGATTTTTTTTTTTTCCTTTAATTATCATTGTCTATA